GAGCAGGGAGCCCGATGCGGGGCTCGATCCCAGGACCCTGGGATCATGACCTGAGCCGAAGGCAGACGCTTAACTACTGAGCCACCCAGGCGTCCCGGAACCAAAGCTTTTTAAGCAGCAAAAGCTGTTTAAGACAGTAAAAGGATCGGCGACTGGGACTGAGCCGTCCTCTTCCCTGCTCTGCTTTTAAGCAATGGGAGGCCCAGCCTGGCTTCTCAAGCTCCCAGGTGGACCCAGGGGCAGGGCAGGCCGGGGGAAGGCACACCCGGCCGGCATCAGCTCCTGGGTTTGCTGCTGGGACAGCACGGTGCTGCAGGAGCACGGGGCCAGCAGAATCCGAACCACCTCTTTTCAGGTTTCTGTCCCATTGCTGTGCAGCCTCCTGCCTGGTCCCCAGAAGTGCATTTGCCACTTCGGTAGCCTCTCTGGTATAAATGAACTGCTCTCTCCCAGAGCCAGATCTAAAGAGCTCGTGGTTCCGTCGCATGAGAACGCTGCACGCATGCCTGAGGCCACGGCCTGTGCGTCCTCTGAGGGCTCTGCCAGCCACCGAGACACCGTGGCTTTCCGGGAGGACTGCATTAAGCCACGCCTAGTATAGGGTCCCGTCACACCCTGGCCCGCATGGGTGCCCTTTCCCCTCCGGGGGCAGACCCAGAATCTGAGGAGGAGTGTTCGTTCCCCGTGATCTTTGTGGTCTGGTGTTTTTTAACCCGGGACAGGAAATGCCTCCTTTGGACTTGGAGTCCTCCTGTACCTGGGGATGGACAGCCCAGGGCACGCTCGGCCGGGAGCTGCAGGCTGGGCGGCATTAGCTGGGTCTGTGTGTGGGTTCTCCAGCCCCCTTCGAGGTCCCGTTCCGTTGCTCTGAGGGACATGGCTCTGCCAGGGCCTGGAGGCCTGAACAGGAAGCAGAGGCCTGGCTGGCCTGTGGCTTCTCCAGTGGCGGTTCCGTGTCTCCTTCCCTGGGACGCAAGGGTCCGGGAGGGCAGGCCTGGGGGAGGCTCCCAGCGGAGAGTACTCACCAGGGGCTCCTCTTTCAGCCTTGCTTTAGGCCCTGAAGACACCAAGCCCCTTGGCCTGCAGAGCATCCACATCTTATCTATTCCCTTGACTGCAGTGGAGACCCAGGAGGTGCACCCCACCCCGCCCCGGCCCCAGAAGCCTGGGTGTGTACCCAGCAGTCAGACCCGCCCCTCCCACCACGAACGTGGGGTCCAGAACAAGGGGCCCCCTGCCTTGACTGCAGTCTTGCTTCCTGTTAGATATTCCAGATACTAAGCTTCTGTTCAGGCTTCTGTGTCCTTCTCACCCCCTCCCATTTTATATGGTGTGCGGAGAAGACCATGGTGATAAGTCGGTTTTTTTAATGAATAACTTTTTTTCTAAAGATTTCATTTATGTGTCAGCACAAGCAGGGGGGACGGCAGGCAGAGGGAGAAGCAGGCCTCCCGCTGAGCAGGGAGCCCGACACGGGGCTCGATCCCAGGACTCCAGGATCATGACCTGAGCCGAAGGCAGACACTTAACCGACTGAGCCACCCAGGCACCCAAATGAATAACTTCACTTCTGACTCCATAATCTTCACACACAAAACCAGCTACACACAAGCAGTGTTTCCATCACAGTCTTGAACCAGGGAGGAGTCTTGACAAAGGGAAGTGGATGGTTTGAGTGGAAACTGTTCCACCCACAGGCAGAAAGTGGGGGGAGCCATCCTGGGGGTCGTGGTGGGAGAGAGTCTGGGGTATCAGAGGGGCACATGGGATGAGGGGGCACGGCAGATCCTGCCGGACATCGGGTCCATGGTAGGATTCTGGATGTTTTCTTAAATATTTAACCCATGGTGACACGATCAATGTTTTCTCAAGAGCCCTGTGGCCGTCAAGGTGGGAGGCAGAGCGGGGGGAAGAAGAGCTGAGGCGGGAGAAGTATGGGGAGCCGTGGGGGTGGCGGGTGGTGGCCTGCACAGTGAGGGCAGAGGGGTGGAGCATGGGGGGCACTTGAGGACGTGGCAGCACCATTTGTAAAACGGGCAGGGCTCGGGGTTGAATTGTCACTGGGGGCTGACGAGAGAGGCAGACACAGAAGGACAGACAGCACTGTCACAAAGAGTAAAGGCAGCGGGGTACCCCATCCCCAAGCCTGTTACCCATTAGGGACCCCGGGGGGTCGGCAAGCGCCACAGTCCCCTGCTTGGTGGGAGCGCCAATTACAGCCTCCTGCCAAGTGTGTTGTCGGGCTCCCGGTTTTACTCCTGCTTTGATGAGCAGATGTAGGGAACCGTGTGTAGCTATCTCCTCTCGCTCCTTCCCTCCTTTGGGAGGTGGGGGCGGGATGGGCTTCAGGAGCCATGCCTAGCTTTAACGTCGGGGGTCTTCAGAGGGGCTGGCTCTGGAGGGCGTCCCTTGTGGCTGCTGCCCTGGGAATGCCCCTCTCATGGTCTGGCCCCGGGGCTGGGGGCAAGACTCTCTGCAGGAGGGAAGCAAGTTCAGCAAACTGCTTCCCCTGCAGGGAGGGAGGGCAGGCTTTATCCGTCACATGGGGCGGTGGCCCTTCCCACGCGGGAGCTGTGCGTGAACTGGGTCAGGCTGACTCCACCAGCGTTTGTCGCTGGGCTGTGTCCTTACAGCCAGGAAGCAGACCTTCAGAGAAAGGGGGACACCAGGTGTGGGCAAATTCCAGACACTCCCACTCTGTGCCGTGCAGTGTGGTAAATCTTGTCTAACTTGGTTTGGTTGCTTTGAATATTCGGTCAACATGCGATTTTTGCTGTCAGCACTAGGCCAAAGCTGGCTGTGTTATTTAAGGCAGAATGATTTTGCACAAGTGAAGAGTGCCAATCAGACAGAGGGGGATTGTGGAGAGGTCCTGGGAGAAGTTTCGAACCAGGAGCCGGCAGCTGGGCTCCAGAGCGGCCCGCAGCGACAGATGGAAATCTGACTGAGTGGGGGGGGCGGGCCTGGGCTCACTGTCCTCATTCCCTCAAGTTCTGAAACCCCAAGAGGCTGGGATGGTTTTCCAGCACATGAAGAACTTCAGTCAGAACTTTCTGCATAAAATGAATGTGCTTAATTATACAGATCCTTCCCTAGTCCTTAAGGCCAGACGGGGAGAGCCTTTAATCAGGAGAGCCTCGGACAGGATACTGCGTTCCTAAACCGACAATAGCATTTACTCTTTACAACAGCTCTGGTTTTAACCAAGGGGACAGGAACAAGCTGTAAGGCTGCGGGGGTGGGGTGGGGGGGTAGCGCCAAGAAGTGTGTGACCCACAGGGCTTTGTGTGCCGTGGAGGTGAAGATGGGAGGTCTGGGGCGCAGGGCTGTGAGCTCGGGGTTGCTGTGGGACGACTGGCTGGGAAGGCTGTCCATTCTGAAGGATGTGGCACGGCAGATACAGAATCGTCCCCTAGCCCCTGGGTGCTTGTCCTGCATTCCTGTGCGGGCTTACGAGAGGTGATGAGGTGAAGCTAGCTGTGTCAGGCTCTGTCGCCAGCGAAGGTGAGTGGGGCCAGCTAGTGGGAGCTCTTCCCGGGAACTAGCTGCGTGCAGGGGGGTGGGCCCTGCGGAGCAGGGTGACTTGCTGGAGCTGAGCAGACATCTAGTGGCGGGCGGGGGGACTCTCACCTGCTGTCTGCAGCCTCTCCCAGCTCCCCGGCTTCTCCTTCTCTGCGGGGCTCCAGGCCACACACATACCCCCCCCCCCCCCCCGCCGTGCCCCTGATAAAGAAGGAGCGGGGAGCAAATGATTCCAGGCTGCCCTCGGGCAGTGGCCAGCTCCCCCTTGTCTTCCCCTTGGTTCTAAAATTCCCCCGACACTGAGAATGCCCAAGATGTAAACTCGAGCCCAGGTAGCCTGGGACAGAGTAATGGACTCGGCCAGTGCTTTTGGTGGCCTTCTGAGAAAAGCTGTGTGCTGCAGAGCCTTTGTTTTTTGTTTTGTTTCCTTTTTAAGAGGACTGTCCTGATTCCATGTATAAAAAAGGCAGGAAGACTCAAGGGACTGCCAGAGGCCAGAGGGTAAATGCCAGCTTCTCAAAATGGGAGAGGGGAAAGAGGATCCTGATGGATCAGAAGACAGGAGGGAGATATGGCCTCCGCTTCTCAGGACCTGCTGTTCCCCTCCTGGGGGAGGTGTGGAGGCAGAACCGAGGATGGGATTGCAGAGGATGAAACCATGGGTCGTCAGGGAGAAAGGGCCAGTGTGTTCCGCACGTCGGGGCCGGGGACGGACTTAGCCGGTGCAGAGCTTTCCGTGGCGGTGACAAAAGGCTGCAGGTGGGCCATGATGCTTTTAAAACACAGGCTTTAGAAGAGTCTGCTCCAGAGCTGCATGGAGAGTGGCGATTGAAAGGATGCTGAGCCCATTTCTTCCTTGTCCAGAGCTAAGTGAGCATGGAGAAGCCAAAGAAAGCCACCACACAGGGGCCACTCGGGCAAGGGGACGCCAGGAGGCAACACGGGGTGGGAAACCCGCCTGTCCCTCGCCTCCACCTTTAGAGGTGGAAGACTTGGAGATTTGGACCTGGGACTTGGAGCTGGTGAGACACATCTCCGGTGAAGCCAAGGTCACCACTCAGCCTCTCCTCTCTTCTCCTGCTGCCTCTGGGGCACCTAGGGCAAGCTCTTAGGATGGCCCAGCTAGACATGGGAGTGCGGGGAGAGGCCACAGCTGGAAGAGGCCTCACTAGCTCCCAGCTCCCGGCAAGTCCTGGCCTCCCTCTCCCCGAGGTTCCCTGGGCTGGCCGGTGGAGGACGTGGCCCCCAGATGGAAGGAAAGTGGAGATGTCTGCCTTTCCCAGTCCCCACCACTGTTAACCCAGGTGAAATTGGGCTGGAAGCCTTCTCCAGGTGTGAACCTTGAACAGCCCTGAGAAGGGAGTGGGGAGGTTGACTTTCCAGGGAGCCTCGGGCTCCAGCCTGTAGTTGAGGAGTGAATGGCTCTAAAGCTCCTCCCTCAGAGGCAGTCTCTCCAGGGCCCCGGCCACAGACCCTGCCTGGACTGGGAGGCCCCCGGAGCCCGGCAGGGGTGGCTTCCTCTCTCTCGGGTCAGCTCAGCCCAGCCGCTGCTCAGTAGGAGCCCTCTTAGCACAGCCGAAGCCGTGTTCCAGGGCCTCCTTCCCTCCTTCCCTTCATCTATTAATTCATTAATTAATGTGGTCATCCACTGAGCGCCTGAGAAGTGCCAGCCCGTTCTGGGGCTTGGAATACAGCGAGAGACACACAAGCCCTGTCCTTAAGCTTATGTCTCCAGCAGGGAAGAAAGAGATGTTTGTAAAAAGAAAAAGAATAAAAATACCACGTTAGGAAGTGAAGAGCTCTGGTGAAGAAACAACAGCAAGAATGAGAAGGTAGGGTGTGCATGGGTTGCAGGGCTCTGACGGTTCAGCCTGGGAAGGAGGCAGCGTGGGAGACCCCGGGAGGAGCGGTGTGGGCTGACGGGGGCGGGGGGTGAGTCCCGAGGCCGCGGGGGAGACCAGGGGTGGCGGCGGCAGGTGGGGTGTGCTGGGAGCGCAGTGGATGGGAGGGTCAGTGCGTGATGCGGGAGAGGCAGGAGAGGCAGGAGGGGCTGCTCGCAGCAGCTCGGGTCAGCCTTGAAGAGTTGGGATGTGACCCAAAATTGAGCAGTTTTTTTCTTGGAGGCCTTCAGCTGCTGTCTGCGGGGGAGGGAGATGTGGGCAGGGGGGAAGCAGAGAAAGTGGTGAGAGGCTGTTGCAGGAGTACAGTCAAGGGGCAGGTGCCCTGGGGTTGGGTGGTGAGAGGCAGATGGAGTTTGGGAGGCAACAGCTGATAAGATCACTTGACAGATGGGTTAGCTTGGGATTGGTGACATTTTGGGTGTGAGAGATGTCAGGGACGGGCTCTTCGATTTTTCGCCTCGGCAGCTAGGTGGATGGCGGCAGCATTTACAGAGAAGGTCGTGAGAGAGTGAGGTGTTTGGGGGCAGAAATTGAGATTTTTTGCTTTGAACATGTTCAGTTCGAGATGCTTTTGAGTGGGTCTGCAGCTCAGCAGAGAGGTCGGGCCGAAGAGCAAGTTGAGAGACCCTGGGGTGGGGAGGGCAGGCACTCACCCGGGGGAGGGCGGAGGCAGGGGTGGTGGAGGCGAGTTCCCGCCACTGTGCAGGGGAACCCCCAGGGGAGTGGAGGACCCAGCAGCGAAGACAGGGACGGGATGGCTGGAGTGGAACGAGGACAGCCAGCCATGTGAAGAGCGCAGGTTACGAACCTGGGCAGGTGGCAGCTTGGTCCCTGATGACCTCAGGGCGATAGCGCTGGAGTGGGAGGGGTGAGGAGAGCGGGAGGTGCACGGGGAGACAGCTCTTGCGGGAGATGTGTGAAGGGCAGCAGAGCCGGGGTTGTGGTGGGGGTGCCAGGAGGTCCAGGGAGGAGACTGAGGGTCAGGGGGGTGGGGAGGTGCGGTTTCTCCTAGGGGGATGCCTCAGGAGCGTGAACCGAATTCCAGGAACAGAGGTGAAGGAGTTGGCTACAGGCAGGAACAGCGCTGCAGAAGGGGGGCAGGGGTAGCAGGCAGGGTGGGTGGTGGTTTGGTGTGGGGAAGATGAGGTCGTGTTGTCTGCACCTACGTGCTCTAAGCAGGTCCGGGTCATGGCATCAGCTGAGAGCTGGCATGGGGAGAGGACAGACCTGAGGGAAGAGAGGAAGGTCCCAGACAGAGGCCATTGGTCCTTGCTGGCCCAGGTCCAGCTGCTTCCTGTTATTGGGGAGCAGCGTATCAGAGTCCCACCCTGGGTCCCGAGAAAGGGGTCGGACCAGGCTTCACTCGACGCCACCCTCCCCTGCTCTTCATCTAGAACCTCTCTCCTCAGCGTCCAGCCCCCTACGTATGAACATGAGGTGGCTTGGTCCCAGGCCTCGTGCTCGAAGCCGGCACCAACACCTTGGAGGGGAGCAGGTGTAGCTGCCCCAGAACCGCAGGGGGGCCTGTTGCGGGGGAGGTGTGTGGACCCCGAGCGTCTCCCCGGGCCGCTGTCGTGTTGGGGGCAGGCGAGGACTCTTGCGGCTCATACCTGGTGGGCCCCCAGCAGCCATTCTGAGCTGTTCTTTCCCATGTGGCCTTTGAAAACTCAGGTCAAATGAAGTGGGGACCCACTGAGGTGCCCTGTGTGAAGAGAGAGGCTGATCAGTACCTCTTGGTGCCAGTCCTGTTTCGACTGCCTTTTCTGCCACCCTGTCGCAAAGTCTAGACTTAGCATTTCCTTTCCTGGAGAGTGAAAATCCTCAGCTGATGGGAGACTCTGGAGGCCAAGAAGGGGGGGTGCAGGGAGAGTCCCCAGCCCCGCCCTCCGTCTGTGTCACCTTTGGTCATGGCGTTTCACGTCACTCTGCTTGACCTGGCGCTCTCACTGGCCAAGTGGGATCATAATTGGACTTCATAGGGTCGAGAAGATCTCGGCTCGGTCCTTGGCCCTGCCGCCATTTAAGTTGTCCTCGGCGACTTGAATGTCTCCCGTGTGTAGACGCTGTCCCGGACCCTGCAGACTCGGCAGGGATGGGAGCCCGGGATGTGGAGGCACGCCTGGCATGTGGGGAGTCTCGCAGGTGGTTAAGAAAGTTCTCCGGGCCCTGCCCTCAGCCTCTCCTTGCTCTCTCCCCAGGGTTTAACTCCCTCGTGGGCGGCGTGATGGGCTTCTCCATTCTTCTGAGTGCCGAGGTGTTCAAACATAACGCGGCGGTCTGGTACCTGGATGGCAGCGTAGGTGTGCTGATCGGCCTCACCATATTTGCCTACGGGGTCAAGTGAGTTCTCCTTTTGTCCTCGCTTCCCCAGGGGCCACGAGTGCACCGTTTGCCACTCCTGTGACCCCTCTGAGCCCGGGTGAGGTCAGGGGACTAGAAACGCCCCCAGCAGGGGCCCAGTGTTTTTGAGGTGGGCAGTCTTTTACTCACTCTGTGGTCTCCCTTTTGTGCGTGAAGCTTTGTGCCCCTTCCTTTCTCTCTACCGAGGATCATGACGACACACTGGGGAGGCACGTTTGTGTGGTGTCCTCACAGGTCAAGCTCCTCCTGCCCAGCAGCACCACTCCGCCAGACCCCACTTAGGGAATTTTCTGCAAAAGGGACGAGTCACTGCAGAAGGGCCCCACTTGAGGCTAAACCCAGCCTGAGTCCTCTCGCTGAAGCAGCGCTGTGCAATCACCGACTGCTCCAGCGTCCAGGCTGGGGTCGGCCTTCGAGAGAGCCCTTTCGGAAAGGCACTGAGGTTTTAATTGTTAAAGCGCTCCCTGCCTCCCGAGAGGATAGCTCTAGTAAGAAAGATGCGCGATCGGGGTGGCCAGGATGAGGGCAAAGGGGAACCCTCATACGTTGCTGGTGGGAATGTACAATGGGACGGCTGCTGTGGAGACCCCAGAGTAGCTCCTCACCGTGTTCAACGTTGGAGTTCCCACTTGACCCAGCAGGTGTCACTCCGGAGAAATGAACACACACATCCACGTAATGACTCATGCACGAGTGATCACAGCAACATTACTGATGGTAGGCAAAAGGCAGACACAACCCAAATGTCTGTTAAATTGGTGAATGGAGCAATGTAGTAGAGCCGTAGAGTATTCCGCAGCCTTAAGAAGAATGAAGTATTGCCTCAGGCCACATGGATGAACCTCGAAAACACGGTACCAAATGAAAGCAGCGAGTCAGAAAAGGCCACATGTTAGGTGATTCCATGTAGAGGAAATATCCAGAAGAGGCCAAAGCAGAGGCTAAAAGTACATCAGCAGGTTGCAGGGGAGGATGGGGAATGACTGCAGGTGGCCATGGGGTTTCTTTTTGGGGTGACAGAATGTTCTGGAATTAGGTGGCAGTTGTGGTTTGTACAACCTACGAATATACTAAAATGCACTAAATTGTTTACTTTAAAAGGTTGAATTTTATGGTATATAAATGGTAGTTTTTAGAAAGCCTTGTGCTTACTTCCCAAAGCGCTCAAGCCCCAGGGCTGTGGGGGTGACTTGTGTTTCCTTCCTGCAGACTCCTCATCGACATGGTGCCCAGGGTGAGGCAGACTCGCCACTACGAGATGTTTGAGTGACAGTGGCCAGTGGGGCCCGAGCCGGCTGCTGTGCATCCGCACGAACACCGTCAGGACCACGAGGTTTCCACACAGGCAGATGGTGCCAATATTTCACTGAACATCCAATTTCTTTTTTGGCAAGTTTGTGTTCATGGGAACAAGGTCTGCCCGGCAGGTCAGTCTGCACTTCTCCCCCCATCAACTGTGTTAGGACAACCCGCACAGGAGTGGGGACAGGTTTCCCCACCTCCAGCGGGAACTGACCTTTTCTGTTTTCTGCAGTAAAAAAGGTTCTTGTGGGTAAGATAAGATCTCTCCTTGGCAGAAAGTTCCTCTGTGGTGCTCTAAGCCTGAAATGGATAGCAACTGACCCGACCCACCTCCTCTGGACCCCCGGTGGCCCCCGCCACCTCCCATTCCAGAGTCTCTTATCTCCTGGCAGATTTTAAGGGAAGACCATACGTTTTGTCCCTCGCCCCTTGACATGCCCAGAACCATCAGTACAGATCACTTCCTAATTTCTATCAAGGTATTTCATTAGTTTCATACTGTTTTACTAATCCTGACTCTAAACAGATTTGTCTAAAAGGAGACCATTCTATTTTTAAAGTACTTAGTGACACATGTATGAGCTTTGCATGGTTGAACTGAGCACATGACCATTTCTTGTACATTCAGAAGCTGAACCTACATGTAAAAACAGAATCCATTTTTGAGAGATGTGAAACGACAGTTTATTTGTAATAAATAATTATATAATCTATCCATATGTGCATAGATCTCTATGCTGTGTGAAGTGGTAATGGTACGTCCCAGTCTGCTAGAGATGGCTTGCCCCTTTGTAAGGAACGCGATGTTCCCTGTTTCTGTAACGTTAGGTATAGGTTCTGTGCCTCTGGACCTGCTGCTCGTCCAGGCGATGGTGTCTGACCAATAAAGACCTTCACCTGTTTTGTATGGTACGGGGAGGTTATCTTGCGCGTTCTCACTGTCCTGGGCAGGTTTTCTGTTGTGTATGAAGGATGCCGTGGATGGGGTCCCTTGGGTCTGGGGAGGTGGTGAGGGGAGACCCTGAAGGACTGTCCCGATGGGCGCTGCAGGCCCTGTGAGGGAGGGGGGCTGCACATTCATTTGGTGGTGCTTGGGACTGCAGGATGGTGCTCCCCGGGCCTCGCCCCTGCCTTCCATGCCCCCGCTCCTAGGGGGCTGTCTCTGGCTCGCTGAGTGGAGGTGGTTCATCACTGACCTTGATTCGGTCTGACACGTCCCGTGTGGCTTCCTCAGACAGCATTTTGAGGAGTGTTGCATGGGAATGTTTGTTAATAGGTCACATGAAAAAAGGGTCGACTGTATGAGCCGGTCTGGGAAATGCAAGATTCAATACATTTCATTTCTGTGTCTAGCACACGTGGAAACTTTGGGAGGGGAAGCTATGATGTAATACCACCCCCCCCCCCCCCCCCGCCAAACGTAAGCACTCCAGTTTTTTCTGGCACTTTGTGGGACGTGTGTTCCACAGATGCATGAAGGGAACTGCATGGCATCTGCGTTCCAGGCAGTAGCCAGGAGTTCTGCTGGCTTCCGAGAGGCTGGCCATCGCTCTCCAGCATTCTCAGACAAGCCCTTGGGGTGGACATGGACGTGCCCTTCCTTCTTTCCAGGGCATCTCCCTGCAACCCACCCCCTGCCAAAAAAAAAAAAAAGCCTACCAGTCCTCTGTGCAATTCCGTTCCCATGTAGGTGAATGCAGGACGGGGGGAGTGCTCTGGAATGAGTATCGGTGGATGCCACACAAG